TGCTACCTTGAAAATTATGTTTTAATAAAAAATGGAAAAAGAGGTGCCCCACGGTAAATAAACACATTGTTTCCCTAATACTACATTATTAGTTCCTTTATTTGGGTTCATAATGTCTTTTTCGCCCATTCTGAGGAGCAAAAATATAAATACTGTCAGTGATTTGTTTAATTATAAAACTCGTTATTTTTTTTCTAGTTGGTAGAAATGGGTCTGGAAAGAGTAATTTCTTCTATGGTAAGTTTATCATCTTTGTTGTTGCAAATTACTTTGGACTTCTAAAAAAATGTTTGAGGAAATTGTCATTAAATTTAGAATTTGTCATTCTTTTTTTTATTAATAAAAACCACACAATCTCTGAATTGTAATGTGCATGTTTTTATCTGATGTGTACTGCCCCAGATACATTAATTTTTTTTGACCATAACTGGAACTGTTTAAATTATTTATATAAAAATGTGCACTGGTAAGACTGTCCTATTCTAAATTACAGTGACCTATCAACAGAAAAGGACACCACATATCGTAATGCCTTCTTGACAACACAGGGTGTGCACTTAACAGTACAGAAAAAAGGGTTAATGACTTTTGATTCAGTCACCTATATGTATTCAGAGGTTCAGACAAGTTTTATTAATTTCAAATGAATGATAAAAACTTGACCAATTAAAGCATGTTAATGAATGCTTGGCAGTAAATTGTACAATGATTTATGGAAACCTGTAACCTGCAAAGATTCATTGGTAAGAGTGTTACCAAATAGCTTTAATAAATAATAAATAATTTAAAAAGTGCGAGGGTCTTCCAAGAGAAAAACCTGCATGCCTTCATGAAATTCACTGCAATATCCTTTATATTTTATTTTAAATTTCTTAATCAGCTATTCAGTTTGTCCTGAGTGATGAGTTCAGCAATTTAAGACCAGAACAGAGACAAGCCTTGCTTCATGAGGGCACAGGACCCAGAGTTATTTCAGCATTTGTTGAAATAGTCTTTGATAATTCAGATAATCGATTACCGGTGAGTACTTTTCTTTTTAGTAAATGATCAGTTTTCACGGCATACAAATGTAGCTGTCACTTTGTTGTTTTCATTCATGGCTAGCCTAAAATCTTGAACACTGCATAATCTTAGATGTCTCACTTGAATGTCTTGATTCCTTTTAAATTAATCAAAAATTAAGATCATAATTTTATTGGTACAAGACATTTTCAGAATTTTTAGCATTGAAATTGGGTTGACCTAGAATATCACAGATTCTGTCTTGCAAATACATTTATTCTCAATCTAGTATAGAGTTCTTTTTTGCTGGGGTTCATTTATGTCAAAATTTGCTTAGAAACATACTGTCTAAAATGGCAACTGGCGATAGGGTACATTACTAATTATTTGCCATATTGTGGATGTAAAACAGCAAATTTAACAGAATACACTTAGATCCTTTGTCTGAAATATTTGCACAAAATTAGAACATTTTGAACATCTGAATCACTGTTTTTGGTGTTGTAATGATGTAACCGTTTCAAAATCATACACGTGTAATGTCAGATTTTCTTCAAAAGAGGCTCAGGAATACTATGAAACACAGTTCTATATGTGATACTGTGTGATCTGATAAACAAAACATAGTTGCTATATTTACTTTGTACTTTTATATATACTTTTTCTTCAACTTTGTTATTTAAGTGGCTTAGACATTGAAAAAATTATTTGTGTAAAATTGCCATATGCATCGTTTACAGATTGACAAGGAAGAAGTAACTCTTCGGCGTGTCATTGGATCCAAAAAAGATCAATATTTTTTAGACAAAAAAATGGTGACGTAAGTATATTATTTGTCTTAGTAACAATTGGGAAATTATTTCCATTTGATCAAAAATTAACTGAAAACTTAAAAATACATTGACATGTGCATTGAAGGTATTCAGAATAAAGGCCAATGAAATTGACCTTTAATTTTCAAATTTTGCCATAGTATACAATGTAGTTGAACCTACATGTATCTTGTTTATTTCTTATCATAGAAAAACAGATGTGATGAACCTTCTAGAAAGTGCTGGATTTTCAAGAAGTAATCCTTACTATATTGTCAAGCAAGGAAAGGTTTGTTGGATTTACTTTAAATTATCTTTAAGAAATTCTCATTGAGAAAAAAGTGACAGGATTCATGATCCTCTTAGTCTGCAACGAGTACTTTTACTCTTTTTGTACCTCTTGCTTAGATCAACCAAATGGCAACAGCTCCTGATTCTCAACGATTGAAACTCCTACGTGAAGTTGCTGGAACAAGAGTGTATGATGAAAGAAAATCAGAAAGTCATCAAATCTTAAAGGAAACTGGTATGTAGTTGATTGTGTACAAATTTGTCTTCACATGTTATGAACAGCATAGCTTTATGCACTCAATTTTTTACAGTTATTTTTAACAAGAAATGCAAGTGAAACATGTAGGTGTTTTTCCCCCATGTACATGTAGATTTGAGAACTGAAAAATATAATGTTGTGTTGCATTGAATTTTCAGAGGGGAAGAGAGATAAAATTGAAGATTTATTAAAATATATAGAAGAAAGATTACAGACTCTTGAAGAAGAAAAAGAAGAGTTAAAACAATATCAGAAATGGGATAAAATGAGGAGGTAATGTATAATTGATTAGTTTTTATCTTAGTTTTTTGCCATTGCGAAACTTCTTGCTTGATATTTATTTGATTTGTAAAATTCGGGAAAATTGTAGTGGTTTATTGTATTTTGAGTTATGGAATGAGGCAGGTTAATCAATCAGTACTTTATTTTCATGTATTTAAATCGTTTATTT